GAAAGAAAGAAAGAAAGAAAGAAAGAAAGAAAGAAAGAAAGAAAGAAAGAAAGAAAGAAAGAAAGAAAGAAAGAAAGAGAGAGAGAGAGAGAAAGAGAGAGAGAGAGAAAGAGAGAGAGAGAGAGAAAGAGAGAGAGAGAACAGGGACTGGGGAGAAGGGGGAGAAGGAGGGAGAAGAGGAGAAAGTGGAGAAGCTGGAACAGAAGGGAAGAAAATAAAAAGGAAGGGGGAAGTGGGAAGGGGGAGCAGGAAGGAGAAGGGCCCAAGGAAGAGAGGCTCTGGCTGGGAAGGGGTGGGCAGCCGCACAGGGTCTGTGCCAATCTGCACGACTCAGATGGCTCGGGGACGACTGTCCTTCACCTGGAGAAAAAGTGCACCTTCAAAGCCCGAGACAAGGACAGCCCTGGTGGTGTGTGGTGCGCTGGGCTATGTGTACAGGTGTCACAGGGGATGCGGATAAGCAGGTCTTAAGCAGCAGGTGCTCACAGTGGATGCTCCTCTCATTTACCCATATACGCAGAAACCTTTCCTTCATCCTTCCAAAATTTTCCATGCCAGAGAAAGAAAACAGAATCCCACCACTAAAATGCACAGGTTTCACCTTGCTTTTTTAATATAGTCCTTGGTATATGCATTTCTGGTCAGAGAGCAAAGTTCTGATGGGTTTAATGGTGCACTCAATGCAGTGCTTGGCGCATTCCATCAATTTTTTTTAAAAATTGCATCTCTTATTTCTTTAAATACATTAATCAGCCTAGTGTAGGCAAAACGGATCCATCGGACAATGCAATAAACATGAATTATCATCTATGCAACACGCATAATGGCTTAAAAATACATAATAGCAGGTGTAGTTTAAATGATTAGTTATTACACCTGTGGTGGGTCTGATTCAATTGGGAAAAATCATCTTTAATAGGTTAAAAGGTTTAGATCACCATGCTTTCCTTAAAGTGGCTGTAGAGAGGGAATGATGGAGTGCTCTGTCATTAGTAATTCATTTAAGAAAAACGTGGGGGATACAGCAAAGAACAGCATAAACGAGTGAATCCAATTTAAACATCAGGTAAAGTAGAAAACACCTTTTAAAAAAGCAAGATAAATGAATTTGGAAGGGAGACGAAATTGACGTATTTATTTTAACGGGAATTTGACAAAGTCCCGGCACACTTCAAACTTGCAAAAATATGAACAATTTCTTTCAAAGTTTCCATTCACTAATTTCGAGCCATATAAAATAATACTGCCAAACACCTATATAAAGTGTATTTGGAGCTTGTTTATGTTCCTCTTGATCTTTGTCTGAAAATGCAGGCGACAGGCAAATCACATATTTAACAGCATCGATATCACTGCACCAGATGCAAAAATATAAAGCATCAGAACTAACAGCCTCAACATAATGTGCTGAATAAGATACCCAGATAAGCAGGTACATGTAAGTGTGAACACGTGAGAACCTCTCTCCTCTCACGAATCATTTCTTCAGCTGCTCTTTACTCTTCTCCCTCTGCCCAAGAAACTAAGCACTACAATGTGGGTGCGGAGGGGGAGTGCTGTCCAATCCATGATTTTAAAAGCCCTCAGATTCATACACAGATGACAGAAGATTTCCCAAAAACCTTTACCCATAATGTAATGATTTTAACGTACTAAATAACTGACAGTGCACTGGGTTTGCATCTTTCATTCACCTATTGGTGGACACTTTTCATTAACTTCATGAAGCAATTCAACTGACTTCTTCCTCTGAGGAGATCCAACACACACAACACGCTTTTGTTGGGTGAAATGATGGGGTGCCTGCAGCCTGCCCTGTATTATCATTTGATTTTCTAATTAGGAGATGAATGTGACTATTCATGGGTTATATCTGTACCCAACTAAATTATATAAATTCAGGCCAAATCTTCCGCCTCAATGTCAGAGATGTAAAACGGAGACGGGAACTTTATTGCACATGTTGTGGGAGTGCAGCAAGCCAGGGAAAATTCTGGTGCAAAGCACCTGATGCCATTGTTGAAGCCACTTGCTGCTGAGTCCATGATAAATATGGAATTTGCGTTCCTTTTCCCTCCTCTTGTACTCAGAGTTCTTAATGAGTGCACCGCAAATTACCAGTAGCTGGCTTCATAAAAATGAAGACAACTCACTCAGAAAAAAACAGAAGCAGAGTTTCTCAGCACGCCATTCCTGTGGCCCAATGTTCCGCCTCCTTCCCCCAAAGAGTAAAATAAAACACCCTTCCCACCATCAACTCCACAGTTTTAGGAAAATTTGGTAATTTTCACTGTTTATCCCTTACAACTGAGGTGCAAAGAAAAGGGAGTAAAATTTCGCCTTTGCAACAGTTACACTAGAGTGACTGACAGCAACCTGGGAAAGAAAGGGGACTTCAGGTTGAAAAACACCTTTGGATCCTGGATGATTGGCCAATTGAAAGAGATTTGTGTTTGAGAGACCACGATTTGTAACTGTATAAATCACTGGAATACAGTATACTCTGGGGCGATCTACGATGAACTATGTGCTGTTAAATGCGTTGTGTAGGATAAGTAATCCCTGGTGAGAAGAATTGAGGTTCCTGACAATCTTCACTGAAGAGATGCTTCCTATGTGTTTTCCACTGTCCTACCAAAGACCTGTACACTGTAATCTTCAGAATGCACACTTTATTTTCGGCACAAGGGGGAAGGGGGAACAGAGCTTGCTAATAACGAACCTGGGGGTCTGAGGAAGCCTTAGCACTTTGCACCTGACATGTGAACGTGATGCATTGTCTCCAGTGACACTTATTTGGAATGCCACCAATTCCAGCAGTCCTGTGTGCTACGCGCACATCTATCTCCTAAAACGTGAGTGTTCATTAGCCATTTTAAAATATTACAAATATTCAGAAATTAATGACACTAACAACCAAAGCCAAGTCCTTTTTAACCCAGAGAGATCACAACTAGAGGGCAAAAGAAAATGACCGATACGCGGGCCCGAAACCCCATTCCAATGCTGCACGGCTACATGCACGCTGCTCAGAAGATTAAATTGCCTGTGAAAGGTTCCTA